ACAATAGGCATTTTCAGATTATGTAAAAAACTGAAAAATGACAAAAATGGAGATTTTGTCCCCACAGCAGCGACGTGTAGAGATATTCACATATCTAGAAATCTTTTCAGCTCCTTACACACTGCTTATTATTTTATCTCCTTTATTATAATCTTATTTTATTCGTCTCTTCGTAAAATACTTGTTAACAGTGTGTGTTTGGTGTGTTCAGTGTGTTCCGTGTCGTAAATGCGCACACTCAACGAGACTAATTCCTCGTATGTGTAACATACTTGGCGAAATAAAGTGATTCTGATTCTAATTTAACCAGGAAAGTCATTAAAACCGTATATACGGCGCTTAAAACCTTTTATCTCCACAATTTAACTGTGCAGCACAAACCGATTGTGATTTTAGACGAATAAACAGATCTGCCGTTCACGCCGTCACGTTTTAAACCCGCAACCAACACGAGTTCGTCACCAAATCCTATAAAACCCTCATTCCAGCTTCAGCCAGTGCTGCCGATTAGAGAAGAACCAGAGGAACCGCCTGAGAACCCGAGAGAAGACGCTGTAAAAGCAGCTTACTAACACGAAACAGATGTTACTGAAGCTTTTCAAACCGTTTTCATTACAAAAGCGCCTCTTTTTTGTTTGTCAGGAAGTGTTAGCTGGGCAACTCCACCGATTTTCCAAAATTCCTGCATTATCAACCCCTTAAAATCCCACTTATTACATACTAAGGCCTGTTCTTCAGTAATTGCAGGGACTTCAGTGCACACTGTCTGAGCTATTCTTAGTTTATAGAGGTTCGTAATAAAACTGCCGGTGGATTCCGGACACTTAAGCGGTAAAATGGTCAATATATTTTTATAATCCACTCGTTGTGGAGAGATGCATTCGAGGCAGAAATAGTCCCCAAAGATAATGTGTTATTTTCAGTTTTTCCATATTATACATATTGACTTAAGATAATTTCACATGTCAAGATATTTTTGCAGCCCAGTCCCCACAGAAAAAGTATTATTTGCAGGTTTTATACTATTTTATTATAATCAACGTTTAATATAAGCACTCAGAAGACTCGTGTAGGTTCACTGGTGGTTCTGGATAGTAAATAAAATGTCTATATTTGTGTTGTAGTCATGGCGACCCCTGGTTCCTATCACCACCACTGTAAAGAGATCTGAGCCATTTCACACCAAACCACTCTGAATCTCTCTGTTTACACCTCACACTGAATTATGGGTGGAATGTTGTAAAAATCAGCAGAATTCCCCCTTTAAGCACCTGCAGAGAGGAGGAGTCACGGCTGTAAAGCTGCCCTGACGCCCTGAACGGAACTGAGGAAGTTCTGACGCAGGACAGTGAGAGATTCTATATTTCACTCATAGATCATGAATTATACATAAAGTACACACTTATGGAAAAGTGCTATATGTATAATTTACCAGCCGTGAGGAAAATGTTTATTTAGATGTTGATTAAATTGGTTTATTTAAGCTTGTTAAACTCTAAAAGACCTCAATCTCACAACCACACAACCTAAATATCAGTTTTACAGTAGATACTGAAAAACTGATAGTAGGTACTGAATAATTTATAGTAGTTACCGAATAATTAATAGCAGATACTGAAAAATTCATAGCAGATACTGAATAATTTATAGTAGTTACTGAATAATTAATAGTAGATACAGAAAAATTCATAGCAGATACTGAATAATTAATAGTAGATACAGAAAAATTCATAGTAGATACTGAATAATTTATAGTAGATACTGAAAAAATTCATAGCAGATACTGAAAAATTCATAGTGGATACTGAATAATTTATAGTAGATACTGAATAATTAATAGTAGATACAGAAAAATTCATAGCAGATACTGAATAATTTATAGTAGATACTGAAAAAATTCATAGTGGATACTGAATAATTTATAGTAGATACTGAATAATTAATAGTAGATACAGAAAAATTCATAGCAGATACTGAATAATTTATAGTAGATACTGAAAAAATTCATAGTAGATACAGAAAAATTCATAGTGGATACTGAATAATTTATAGTGGATACTGAATAATTTATGGCAGACACTGAATAGTTCATGATTGTTAAAAAAATTCAGTGGTTACTGAAAATTCTTAATAGATACTGAAAAATTCACAGTAGATACTAAAAAATTCATAGTAGATACTGAGTAAAATGTATAGTAGTTACTAAAATATTCATAGCAGTTACTGAATAATTTACAATAATTAGTAAATAATTTATCATATTCACTGAATAATTCATAGTAAATCCTGAGCGATTGATTCTAACTTCTACGAAAGTTTTAGGATTTATAGCAGAATAATAACCGTGTTGAGTTGAAGACGAGAAATAAAGAGGTCAGATCTGAAAGTGCCTAATCTGAGATTATTTCTATTCCACAGATTAAACGCTAACCGAGCGTTTTCCTCGTGCAGGCGTTCTCTGCGTCCCTGTTTCAGTCCGAATGTGTATTTGAGCTCGTTTAAGCTTCATTTGTAGCTCGTCTCGTGTTGTCTGGGCTGCTCCGAGCGCGAGTGTGTGCTGAGTGTGTTTTACGGGCCGGAGCTGAAGCAGCGCGAGAGCCTTAATTAAAATATTCCCCTCAAGTTTTTCTGAGAAATCAGAAACATGTGTTAGATCCCGGCGGGCCGCGGCGCTCAGCGTAAACACGGACGCCGAGACGGTTTGAGGCCTCAACACAGAGAACACAGCACGGCTTTAAAGCCTGAGCTCGACTCTCACGCGTTTACGGTTATTAATGCTGTTTTTAATATAATAACGAACTGCAGTTACATAATTACACACAATTAAAAGGGTTTCTTCAGGAGAGCCACTTTTGGGTGGTTCCGTGTAAAAGAACCATCTTTCCTAAATGTGATGAGTGTGAAGAACCTCCACGCAATGTAAAGGTTCTGGGGAGAACCATTAAAGGGGAATTCCAACAATATTTTTAAAATTTCTGCTTAATTCAGTGGTTAAGATGTAAACAGAGCGGTTCAGAGTGGTTTGGTGTGAAACGCTCTGTTCTAGAGAAACTTACCGAGTCCGAACTGGTCACAGTGGTGGTGATAGGAACCAGACGTCCACCTCTAAAAGCTCCCTCACAGACAGTTACTACATGAAATGGTTATGAATGCGCTGCATGTCTGCGACACTGTTTTACGATAGATTTTTGGCCTAAAATACATTTTTACAATCCATTAGTAGCAGAAAAACACATTCACCACAAACAATGACATATCTTAAATCTAAAATCTTAAATCTAAGTCTAATTATCTCATATTTCCCATTTTGAGATGATGGTTGGTATAACATAACATTATTTAACTTATTTCCTGATTTTTTTTTTACTCGTTTTGAGTCATTTTATTAAGTAAAATGATCACTGCATTTGCAGATAATTGTGCTGGTTTCAAATATATTTCTTACAATGATACTCGGCCAATATAGCAAGATAGTTTAACCTAAAACAAGTAAAAAATGTCTATTAATAAGTTTAATATGTCTTATTATATTCATAAACCATCTCAAAACTAGATATATTACCCATATTGACCCTTTTAAGATAATTTCACATGTCAAGAGATCATTCCTGCAGTTTAGTCCCCACAGAAAAGCTTATTATTTCAGATTTATGACTATTTTCCCATCATCAACCTTTAATATAAACTCAGAAGACTCGTGTAGGTTCACTGGTGGTTCTGGATAATAAGTAAAATGTCTATATTTGTGTTGTAGTCATGGCGACCCCTGGTTCCTATCACCACCACTGTAAAGACATCTGAACCATTTCACACCAAACCACTCTCAATCACTCTGCTTACATCTCACACACTGAATTATGGGGGAATTTTGGTGGGATTGTCCTTTAAAGTGGTACAGAAGCTTTACAGTCCATATAGAAATATGAGTGGAACTTTTTAAGGGATGTAAACAAACAACGGCTAAAAGGGGAATTTAATAAAACAAAAACAAACCACAGAGCCTTTAAAGGATGATTAGGTCTGTTTGTGTTCTAGCTAACAGAGCTTAGGCCTCGGCCTGTCATCTGTTCCCACACACCTGAGGCAGGTGGACAGGTAAGCAGGTGAGCTGGACCCCCCTAAAACCCACAGACACGAGGCTGAAGTTGGCTTTACATGAAGCAGACGTTGTCTTCTTACTGGAATTACCCCGTTCCACCTTAAATGGTGCAGCAGTTATATTCTGAATTCCTAAATTCCAATAAGTGTAGCTGCACCATTTAAGGTGGAACGGGACAATTCCAATAAGAATTATAACTGCTGCTCCATTTAAGGTGGAATGGTGACATTCCAATAAGAAATATAGCAGCATCATTTAAGGCGGAACGGAGACACTCCAATAACAATTGTAATTGCCGCACCATTTAAGGTGGAACAGGGCGGTTCCAGTAAAAAATGTAACGGCTGCACCATTTAAGGTGGAACTGAGAAGTTCCAATAAGAAATGTAATTGCTGCACCATTTAAGGTGGAACTGAGAAGTTCCAATAAGAAATGTAACTGCTGTACCATTTAAGGTGGAACCGGGGTTCCAGTGAAAAAATGGAACTGCTGCGCCATTTAAGGTGGAACTAAGAAGTTCCAATAAGAAATGTAACTGCTGCACCATTTAAGATGGAACTGAGAAATTCCAATAAGAAATGTAACCACTGCACCATTTAAGGTAGAACTAGGATATTACTATAAGAACTATAACTGCTGCACCATTTAAGGTGGAACGGGGGCTTCCAGTACAAATGTAACTGCTGCACCATTTAAGGTAGAACTGGGATAGTCCAATAAGACCTGTAGCTGACTGCTGCACCATTTAAGGTGGAACGGGGAAATTCCAATCAGAAGACAACTTCACCTTGATCAAACATTCTCTCTCTCTTTCTCACGCGCACATATACATCTAATACTATCTGTCTCGTACCCCTCGCCCCCCCCCCACCCCAAACCACCTCCCCATCCCGCCCTTACCTGCTGTTGTGAGTACTCCACTCCACCGGCTCCAGTATTTTCGCCTCGAGCAGCGCGAGGCTGCAGATGAGTGCGAGCGCGCAGCAGCAGCGGTGCAGCACGCGCCGCCCCGCCGCTCCCATCTCCCCCGCTCACGCACACACACACACCATCCCCTCCGCGAGCCCTGTGGATGCGAGCAGCTCCCGCGATGTCCGCCCAAAACGATGCTCGTGCGTACAATCAAAAAAAATGATAATAGAACAGTCCAGTCCAGGTGTGAAGCGTTGCTATGGCACCCGGACACTGGCCGCCACGTGCGGGCCGGTGACGCGGTGACGGGAAGCTCTCGAGCCCTCGCGCGGCTCACAAGACTTTGAAACGGCCGTCCACGGGCGCGTCCTGACGAGTAAACACGAGAAAAAGAGCCGTGCAGAACACAAAATAACGAACACGTAAACAAATAAAAACAAACGCAAATTATTATTATTAATAATAATAATAACAACAAAATAAACGGATGAGAAACTAAGCAGTTAAAAAGTGAGTTTGTCCCCCTTAAAACTCACTCATCAGCCGTGCGCGCGCGAGAGGGACCCCATCAGTGACGTAGAGGCGGACAAATAAACACAAACAATAAAAAAACAATGAATAAATCAATGAAAAGGCTTTAAAGAAGGAAACCGAAGGGAGCCCAGCGCGTGCCTGGAGAAGAGGGATTCCATCAGTGACGCAACAGTGGAGCCGAAGAAACAAAGTAACCAAGAAGAAACAAAGTAGCGACGGCGGAGAAATCCGTTAGAAGTCCGTCACAGATTCTGTTTCATCTCAAAAAGAGGAAAAACTCCAACATTCCACGCGAGAGTTCCCCCCAAAGCCGCTCCGCGCGAGCCGTGTGCCGCGCGCTGCTAGGAGACGCTGCGTTCTGAGCTCGCTCTCAGCGCGAGCCTCGCGGCCACGCCTCCCCGCCCCGCCCCGCTCGGTCAGAAGCCACCAATCACAGCGAAGCGTGGTACGTCACTCAGCCCCTCCCTCAGTAGCCCGCCTCTAGCCCCGCCCCCTCGTTCCTCACAGAAGCTCGGCAGCCGCAAACACAGGCATGCAGACGTGCGCAGAAGTTTGCGCAGAAATGCGGTTTTAAGAGCAAAAACGCAGCGTTGTCGTGTTTTTATCGCTCTTAATGTCACATTATTGTCTTCATATCAACTTTATAACACATTTACGCACAAAACGATCATTTATATCCCGTTGGCTGCGTAAACAGCAGCTTTACTCCCCAAATGCTTTGTTTATTCCACGTTACCTTCGTTTGTGTCGTGTCTCGTGCTGACTGTACACGTTTACGAGCTGAAAGAGTCGCTTTAAAAGCATTTTAGAACGAAAAATCCGTGAGAAAGTTGCCGAAAAGGGCGCTAATGGTGTTGGAAGTGCAGTTCAGTGGTCACTACTGCCCTCTATCGGCTGAAACATCAACATCAAGCAAGAGCTCGAGAGCGTAGAGATCCAAAACAGCCACAAAGGCACTTAATTTAAGCTCTTAAGTGAGTTTCACACCAAAGACAATGGGCACGTGAGTGTTTTGGGGTTAAGTGCTCTGTCCATGAGTGGGTCAGTGTCTAAAAAGCTTTGTGCTTTATGTCTCAACAAATCAGTTGACTGATCTGTGCACACTTTAGAAAGATGGTTCTTTAAGGGTTCTTTAGTAAGTGGAATGGTTCTGTTAGGACCATGAGTTATACATAGAACCATCTGGTTCTTTGCATGGTGAAAGGGTTCTTTAGAATGATGGAGAAGGTGTCAAATATGGTTCTATACAGGAGCCTTTTCTATATAAAGGGTTCTATGTAGCACCGAAATGGGTTCTGCTGTTGTGTACAATGGCAAGCTTGTAACAGTAGCAGAACGCTTTTTGGTGCTATATAGAAAAAGAACGCAGGTTTGGTTCCTGTCGTCTGACTGCACTCCAGCCATTTTATGGATTTGTTTTCTTTCAAAATTTTTGTGTTATTCTATTTTAACAAAATTTGGAAATGTCACTCTATTCTATATTTTTACGCAAAATATAGTACTTTTTAAGATTTTGAAGTGTTATTTTGTTTTATGTATTAAGCGTTTTTCCACTTAGTGTTATTGCAATTTTTAAAAATTTAATTCATTTTTTTTTCTTCTGTTAAATGGTACTTTAATTTTGCGTTTCTGTGAAGACTTAAGACTTTTTAGACCTGAAATTTCATAAATGTATGTCTTTAAGTAGTTTTAAAAACATTCTTTAAACAGTGGGAGTGACTGAAACTGAATTTAAATTTTTAAATATTTTTAAGCATTATACAACCTTTTAAAAATTTAAAGTGATACTCTGTTTAATATTTTAAGCGTTATTCCACTTTTTATTTCTTAAGTATTATTGTAATTCTTTTACATTTTTCTTTTTTTTGTAATTTTTTATTTTTCAGAGTTGTTTTTTTTAATTTTCTTAAGTGTTATTTTAATTTTTTAAATGTGTGTATGCATAATGTATAAATTTATATATGCAAATGGTTCTGTATAGACTTACAGCTATAGGTATATAGATTTTTACACCTGAAATCAGGTGCCTTTGAATAATTTTATAAACATGTTTAAACAGTGGGAGTGGCTGAAACTCTGTCAGTGTTTTGAGTTATTCTGGGTTCTTGATCATTGATTTTTCTGCTTTATCTTTGTTTTTGTGGGGACCATGTTTTTTTGGCCTTATAAAAGAGACTTTTAACCTCAGTGAGATTTTTCCTGGTTAAATAAAGGTGATAATAATAATAATATAGAACTTATGGTTCTAAATAGAACCATTCCCTTTACTAAGGAACCTATGAAAAACCATCTTTTCTATGAGTGTAGTTTGCAGGGACAGCTGGCATCGTGGCGTTTTAACAGCAGTTTGTTTTATGTGCGTTCGCTCACAGACTTTATAGCCCATCTGTATGAGTGATAATATAAACCTGTCTATTAGTGCAGCCGTGTAACGTTCAATTTGAACTATTAATCAAATCTTATACTGTCATATTTAATCAATGAGTAATTACAGATCATTGACGATATTCGTTACATTAATTAAATGGTAATAAAAAGTTAAAAGGGCCAATTTAGGTTATTGATAACATCTATAGCATTATACAGTTCAGGAAAACAAACAGATAAACAGCTGTCTTTCAGAGTAGCAGTAAGAAGGCAGTGTTATTTTTGGTTTTGTTTATTTGTTATACTGACAGGTGAGTTAAAAACAGCGCGTAGTGCTGGTGCAGTTAAGGAACGACGCGTTTTTGTGCTACTTTTAACACACATTCAACACAAAATGTGTTAAAACTAATAGAAAACACAAGGTGTAGCTAATAAACTGTCATTTTTCATAATGTGAAACATTTAAAGAGGAATTCAACTCATTTTCCAAAATTTCAGCATCATTAACTGGCCAAGATGTAAACAGAGTCGTTCAGAGTGGTTTGGTGTGAAACGCTCTGTTCTAGATAAACTTACAGAGTCAGAACTGTTCACAGTGGTGGTGATAGGAACCAGACGTCCACCTCTAAAAGCTCCCTCACAGAAAGTTCCTACATGAAATGGTTATGAATTCACTGCCTGATGACTGAGACACTGTTTTATGATCGTTTTAAGGAGATTTTGGCCTTCATGGTGGAGGAACACATAAAATAGGCCGCATTTCAACCAATTAAATATAATATTTAGTTAATATTGCACATTTTAAATCATACCTCTGTGAACTTTGCATTTCTATAGAAAGAGAAAATTAGTGAGGTGTAAATGCATCAACTTCTTCTACAGTTCTTAGTGCTGTGCGAAAGTTATTACTACTTATTTGGCTACTATGGGAAATAAATATAGTACTGCTTAACAGGAAGTGGTTTAAAACTGTTTATCTATGTTAAGTGTGTTTTTCTTCCATTGAACACTTTATAACATTAGAATAAATCTAAATAAATATACATACAGGAAAGAGTGTTCATAAAGTTTTTTTTTTTTCTTAAAAGTAGCTGATATCTAAAACACGGGGCATGGATTTGTTCAATTCCATCTATCTTTTTTCTTTATTATTTTTTAAGCAAAATGCAATATTTTATTTTTTAAGTGTTATTCTAATTGTTTTAAGTGTTATTCTTACTTTTAAAGTGTCATTCTATTTTTTATTTTAAGTTTTATCCTGTTTTGTCTCATTATTGCTATGATATATATTTAGATTTCTTAAAATTCTATTTTAATTGTTTCATCAGTAGAATGTCATTCTAATTTTTCAGGAGATATTCAGATTTTACATTTTTTAAGTGCTATTTCATTTTGGCTTCATTTTTTTTAAAAAAACTATTTTATTTATTTTGTGTTTTGTGTTATTCTGTTTTTATTCTTTTTTTAATAGTTAGTCTAATTATAATTTTTAAAAGTGCTATTATTCCAGTTTTTATTTTTAAGTGTGATTAAATTTTACAATCTTAAGAAATATTCAATATTTTATTTTTTGAGTGTTTTCTAATTTATTGTGTTATTGTAACTTTTTATTCTATTTTTTTATTTTTACATTTTATTCTATTTTGTCTCATGTATGTGTTATACTTTTTTCTTTACATATTATTCTTATTTATTTATAAGTGGTATTGTTTTTTTTTATTTTTTAAAGTGCTATTTTAATTCATTTATTAGTAAACATCATTTTTTCAGGAGTTATTCAGAATTTTACATTTTAAAATGCTATTTCTATTTGTTTTCATTTTTGCGTTATTATTATTTTTAATGCTTAGTAATAATGCTAATAGTTAGTCTAATTAACATTTTTCTAAAGCGCTGTTATTCCAGTTTTTATTTTTAAGTGTTTTTTTAAACATTTGCTAAAGGAGCATATAGAATGTGCAGGCTGTGTGTGTGTGTGTGTGTGTGTGTGTGTGTGTGTGTGTCCAGTATTTCTTCTGCAGCTGGTGCAGAGCTCATATTGCATGTTCTAACACCCTGACGTCCGCTCACACACACACACACTCTCTCTCTCTCTCTCTCTCTCTCTCTCTCTCTCTCTCTCTCTATCTCTCTCTCTCCTGACCTTTCAGTATTAGCTCAGTGCTGAGAGCCTAATTTAGAACTCTGACTCTGCTGTAATGTATGTGTGATGAAGTGAGTCTAAGGAAAACTAGGCTGGACTAAAAGGCTTCCTGCAGCAAGATCAAAACACCCGAGACCACCCCCCACACCCCACCCCACACACACACCCACCCACCTAACGATCTCACAGATATAGTGGAATATGAATAGAATAAATCAGCCAGGACATGTTTGGAGTCTGAATTAGTGACCTTGCTGGCGAAGCTGTTTTCCTACTTGAATTAAGTTCCACCTTAAATAGTGCAGCAGTGACATATGAGGCTGGTAGAAAGGAAGGAAACCTCGGCTTTGTGTCTTGTTCAGTATCTCTGATGGACTTGATGATGTGGTTTCTGATACTGTATGACACACTGTGATCTATAAACATGGAATAAAGTACAGATTAATATATAGTTTTCTGTTAAGTGGTTCCACTCAATGTAAAACTTTACAAACAATATCTGTGTAGAAGCTCAGACATCTTTCCGGTCATAAAGCCTCAGAGCTTTACAGCTCGTTAGGCCCTAATTGACTCGTTGTCAGCTGATGAGAATTCAGAGTGTAATAAATTCTCTGACTTTTCAAACCAGCTGACACTTAACATCCATGAGCTCCTCCAAGCAGCTGCTGAAGATCTGAGAATGAAGCTAACTGAGGCCTGTAAAGCAGGAAAAGACGATAAACAGATATCAGAGCTCCTCCAGCTCAGAAGTTCCACTGTCATCATCATTAGGAAGTGGCAGTTAAGGGGAACCGTGGAAATTAAAGCTAGGTCTGGAGAACTCTCAGATAGAGCTGCTCGTATGCTGGACAGAA